GCAAATTTGTAAGTACCCGCACTTGGTAAATACTCGCATTAAGGTATAACCCACTACGTTTCAAAACAGGAAAGTCGCGGCCATAACGACGAAACGCTAGCGCCATTCTATGACTGTGGAAGCGCGAAAAGATGAATTATGCAAAAGAGTGGCTGCGGCTCTTGGGCAAATGAGTTCGAAGTATGGGCAAACCATTAGCAGACACATAAAACAAAAATTAGTTAGGAGAATTTTGAGTTGCTTCCATCTTATTCGTCATATTTTAGGGCTTAGCTACACCGTCTAAACTTGCGCCAAAAAGAATCCCGCAAAGATAGAAAATCTCGTTTTGAATCTAGGCCGACCGCGCGATAAGATTTTGACTAATTAAAAATATAATAAAATGAGCAAAGTGGAAATGAAACAAACATCAAAAATCAATAGAAAAAACGAACCCATAGTAAACCCACCTGTGTGCTCAGTAGACACGGTGCAACTTGGGCTTGTGGCAGAACTAGACCGGCTGCCGGATGATGGTGATGATACATCATTAATTCGAGAGGGATATACGGCGATGAGAGCGTTTGACTATTCGCTCCACCGGGACCCGTAGCCGCAGCATAGGCGAGTTGTTGTGCGGCTACGGATTGGGTACGTGAAGCAGCTGCCATCGGTAATGCAGCAGGTAGAGGATCCATCTGACTCGTTATGAGAGAGTTTCTCGGCGACGATACGCGGGAGTACACCACGAACGGCACAAATGCCGCAAATGGACCTGTAATGCATAGAATGAGAATCGATTGGAAAGCACATACATAAAATGGCGAACGAAACGATTTATGGCACAAAACAGAAAACCGTAACCTCAACAATTCAAGAACATTTGCTGGTGAGTCACGATTCAGAAGAAAAGTCATAAAATTCTATTACTCGTCGAAAATAAATGCGGAGCAAAAAATTACAAATCAATCAGATGATCGATTGAGAGAGGACAAGTTTGGTTTGCCCTTCCCCAAAACACTGGGAGTTCACGTTACACATAAGATCATCTTAACTTTTATTTTTTTATCCCAGTGTGGTGGAAGATTTCGAGATGAAAGAGATGATGTAACACACACGGAATCAAAAGTGCTTAATGAGCAGAAAACTTTGAAATTTTGAGGCTGAATTCAGTGATGACGGATGATTATCGATTTTATCTGAGCGATGAAACTTGACGCGCTGCGCACGCTGCGCGCCGCTGAGAGGCTCATAACAAAGGGCAGTAAAAAGTTTAGATTAAACGCAATTTTCCTGAGTTTCACATAATTAGCTTTTGTTTCCAGAATAAAAGAGATGCTTGATTACGAAGCTGTAAGCAGAGTAAAGTCATATCCTAACTTCGATTCTGAGATTTTTTTCACAAAAACCGAATAATTACACAACTTAGTCATAG